CCGGGCGGGAGCCGCCGCGACCATGGCGGACCAGGAGCCGCAAGTTCCCGAGGACTTGTTCAGGGAGGTCAAGTACTACGCGGTGGGCGACATCGACCCGCAGGTACCGCGCCGCCCCCGCCGCCGCGTCCCCGGCCCGCCCCGTGCCCGCCGCGGGCGCGCGCTCGGACGTAGAAAGTCGGGGCCCCACCGCCCGGTCCCCGCTGGCCTGGCCGCGCGGAGGCTGCACCGCCTGGCGCCGAGCAGGCCTGGGGCCGGCGCCCAGAGAGAGGGCGGGGACCTGAGGGCGTCTGCGGGACCCTGGGCATGCCCAGACCCGGGAGGAGGGCAGAGCACGTGGGTGGGTCAGCTCCCGAGTTCCTTTGCTCGGTGTCCCCCGAGCCCTAGCTCGGCCTGGCGCAGATTGCCAGCTGCCCTCCGCCTGGCGTTGCCGGGCGTCCCGTCGCGTGGCCATCTGCCCCTGACCCCCGACCCCCGCCCCGCGGCCGCCCCTGGGAGTGCACGGCCCCCCTTTCCCGGCAGGATCGGGACAGGTGCCCGTCTCTGTGCTGCCGGCCCGCTCTGGTGTCCGGGCTCCCGCGCGAGGGGGCTGCTCGCCGGCCCGGGTGGCAGCCACCCAGCTGTCATCTGCGCACCCGCGGAGCGCTCCGTTCACCAGCGAAGGCGAATTCCTGCATTTTCCTAACTGGGTGGACTGTACCGTAAGTGTAGGAAATACCCACTCAGCACCATCCACACCCGCCCTTTAAAACTTTCTAGTGTGGGCTCATGCGAAAGGCTCTGTGGCTTTTCCTAAGCTTTTTCTCAGTGATGCATCTGTTTGAAGGCCCGCCTGACCCTGCAGGGGGAATCAGTCTTAGTTGAGTACCCTCTTCGGGGGGTTAACCTGATTCTCCCTTCTTTATGCAGTTGTGTGGCCCGGGGTCTCCTCCCTAGTGAGGGCCACGCCTGGAGGGAGGGCGTGGGGAGCCGGGGAAGGTGTGGCTGAGCTTAGCAAAGGCACATACATGGTGGGCGTAGAAGGAGAGTTGGTATAGAAGGCACCGGGGTCTTGGCGTTCCCCAGGCTTGTGCTTGGTGTCTTACTAACCAGACTCCCCAGCTGACCCCCAGGTGGTACTTCCCTGTACCTTTAGGTTGAAGAGACTTTAGCTTTGAATGTAAACATAAGCAGGCTCTGAACCCAGAGTGATGATGCGAGCCTGTGACGACGTTAGCATTTTCCAGTGCTGATAGCTCCCCTTTCTTTCACCGTTCTTCACCTTCTACTTCTCACCCCCATCTCATTTAGGACTTGAACCCCATGCTACTTAAACTCTGGAGCAACTTATGTTGAACCACATTTGCTCAACGGTGTAAGTCAGATCTAAGTGCTTAAAAATGTTCACAAACCACTTGGATCTGCAACAGTTTACTTCCTAAAAAGTATAGAGCCAGAGCCTCCGATTGTCTGGGTCCCATAAATACGGACTCAGAGAGTTGACACGTTGAACATCCAGTGCACGTCAGGCATGGCGCTGGGTCTGGGTGTAACAGAAAGATGCGGTGGGCAGGTGGCACACCTGAGGGCGTTATCGTAGGGTGCTGGGTGCTGGGGTGCCCAGGGGAAGGACCACTGAAAGGTTTCCGAGTGGCGTCCTTCCCCACGGGTCCTTCACTCCGGGTGAAAGATGATGCCCTTCGGGGGGACCTGTGCTGAGGAGAGGAGCCATCCGTGAGTTTGGGAGACCCCGGACGATTGGTGGACCGGGAGCAGAGGGAGCAGAGGTGCCTGTCAGGCCGCGGTGGGCAGTGTGGAGACTGGACAGGCTGGCGCCTTGGGCATCCTCAGAGTCCACGTGAGCCTGCAGGCGTCGGCAGTGAAGCTGTTGGCAGACGCTGGGCAGCAGTGAGGGTGTGAAACCCAAAAGGCTGCTTATTGTGTCAAGAAATCAGGCATCAAAAGGAAGCAGAGAAGGGCCAGGGCACGGGTCTGCGTTTGCGCATGTGCATGTATGCAAGACGTGACCACTTGGTACTTTGTAGGCAGCGGGGAGAGGGTGAAGTTTCCAGACTCTTAGAAAAGGCAGCAGGATCCGGAGCAGAATGGAGGCATTTTCCATGAGACGGGTTGTGCGCAAGTGAAGCTAAAGATGCTTGGAAGTCCAGGGGAGGGAGAAAGGTGAGCTGGTTTGTGGCTGATGACCATGGTGCTTTCATTCATGAAACAAGTACTGGGATCTGTTCCAGTCCTATTGATGGTCGGTAACATATCCTAAAGAGGTTGTCCCTGTTGTGGGTAAACTCAGCTGTGTGGGCTCCATATCCCTGGTGGTGGGGCACACTTGGAGCTGCACCTGCCTCCCCTGGGTCCTGAGGTCTCTGCTGCAGGTGTTGTGTCCCGTCCTGTCCCGCCCCCTCAGCTCCAGAGCTCTGGCTGTCATTTCACTTATCTAAACTTCCTTCTTTTCCGGTCCCCACCCCGGCCATGTGCTCCGCCCTCTGTGCTGGTCTTGTGGTTCCCAGCACTTCATTCTTTCCTCCTGTGCCTACACCCCTGCAGTCACTATGTCCTGCTAGGTCTCTCACATGTGTCTTCTTCCTCCCCTGGCGACATTCCTTTAGGTCACGTGCCTGCCTCGTCACCTGGTTATTGCAGCCACTCCTCCCAGGTCACCTGGCTCATCATGGAGCCAACCCAGTCCATTCTTTGACATTGACAGTCAATCTTTCTAGAAAATCTGATCATGACTTACCTGCACCCAGCCCCCTGCCTTCCCTGAGAATAAAACTGCGTAGCACAGAAGAACGTGTGTGTGCGCGCAGTGCATTTGTGCTCACCCGACCCGTGGGAACACTGCTCTCCCCACAGCGCAGCATTGTCTTTGCCTCCTTAATTGCTTTAAATTCACAAGGATTCTGCTCATGTCCAGCGAGTCCTCACCTTCGTCAATAGGTTCTTGGACCTGCAGCAAAGGACATATCACAAAACCAGGTTTAGCACGGGCCCATTGACAGAAACCAGAGTTCAGTTCCTGTGATGTCCAGTCAGGGACCTGCTGTGTCCCTTCCCGGGCCTTTCCCATTGGCGGTGACCACCCATCGCCAAGCCAGACCAGATCTCCAGTGCACGGGGCTGTGCACTAAGTGTCTGTCAGTCCTCTGTCTTCAGCGCTGATGCCCTGTGGCACCTGCTCACAGTAGCCTCCCTGCTCACTTGTTAGTGAACCAAGAGTTGCTGCTTCTCATTGTCCCCTAATGTTTCATTGACTATGACAGAGTAAAAGGTGTGTGTGGAGAACAGGGTGTGTTTTTAATTAGAATGTTCATGTTCACACTAATTTGTACAAACCAAGAATGAAATGCAGAATTTTAATGTGTGTGGTTTTTTTAAAGGTTATTCAGCTTCTAAAGGCTGGGAAGGCTAAGGAAGTGTCTTACAACGCACTGGCCTCGCACATCATCTCAGAGGACGGGGACAACCCGGAGGTCGGGGAGGCCCGGGAAGTCTTTGATTTACCTGTTGTGAAGGTCGGTAGCAAATATTTTGTACTGCCCTCTGGATTGAAATTGTATGTAGGTAACACCCCATGATTTGTAGTGTATGTGTACATGGGGCCCAGCGACACCCAGACTGGAGGAAGCAGTCAGATCGCCACCTGTAGATCCCTGTGACTGTGACCACAGACTCGTCAGAGGTCCTTTCCAGAGAGTCGGCTTCCTTCCGGGGCCCTTCCTGCAGCCTGAGGATACCCCTTCACAGCTGTCCCCCTCTCCTGTCCACCATCGCCCACTGAGTCCTGGTACCCTGCATTGCCGCCCGGCTCTGAGCATCCTCGGGACACGTCAAAGGAATACCTAGCAACTGGGCGTCTGAGCAGACCTGAGGGGCTCTGGGTGCTGCTGCTGAGAATGGCCCGGCTCATGTGAAGGCGTTCTGAATACAGGAGGGTCAAGGCAGGGTCACCGATGTAGGTTCCTGATCCAGCTTAACTGAATTCCCGGGAGTTTGACTAGAGTCAGACCATGTGAAGATTCGCTGGCAAAGTGCTTTCTTTCGGCGAGGTGCACTTACCCAGTGAGTTAGCTCAGCATTCCATAAAGTGATCAGATCTTCATGCAACAATTATCCCAAGTAGAGCCAGTCTCCATTTCATAAAACGGTTGATATTCCTGCACTCTGTCTGCAGAAGATAAACTTATGCTGAAAAGTTGTTGGCATCACCTAAAAAAAGGATGAGGGGTACTTCGCTTTCCAAAGTTCTTTTTTTTTAAATATATATTTTTTATTGATTTCAGAGAGTAAGGGAGCGGGAGAGAGAGATAGAAACATCAATGATGAGAGAGAATCATGGATCGGCTACCTCCTGCACGCCCCCTACTGGGAATCGAGCCCACAACTTGGACGTGTGCCCTGACTGGGAATCGAACTGTGACCTCCTGGTTCACAGGTTGACACTCAACCACTGAGCCAGGCCAGCCAGGCTCCAAAGTTCTTTTAAGGCAGTGACAGAAACAGTGCAGAGCATTAGCGAGGGTGCTGCTGCATGAGAGACGGCACTTCTGTGTTTGTGTCCTGGCTGGTGCACCTAGGAGAATCTCAGTAAATATCTGGCGTGTGAACTAACGCGGGAGTGTGTGCGTGTTTCAGCTGGTGAAGTCCTCCAGTCGTCAGCTGGCTAAACCGGGCATCACTACATTTTTACATAGTGATTTCGTGAAGCAGAGCTATCAGTATAGTGATTTATGTACTTCTTAAAATTAAATATAAAAAATATAAGGTAAGATCATTAAAAAATATGTAAAGTACCCCCAATGGTAGTGATTAACTTACGGTTTTATAATTTGAGTTTTAGAATTCATAAAAAGTTACCTTGTGTGGTGTACTGACATCGTGTCTATTTGGTTTCATTGAAAAAACGCACTAGTTCAGACCTTATTTGATTTGGGATCAGAAAGGACTTAGGAGGGGGCGGTACAGGTTGCTTGGGGAGGGCAGGGGGTCTCAGTTGGCAGGACCGTTTCCAGCCAGCCTCGAGGCTTAAGCAGTAATGCATGGAATTCAACTTTTATACATAATTTTAGGCTTTCTCCTTGGGCATTCACAGCGAGCCTTTGGCCCTGGTGTTCCTGCTACTTGAATACCATCGTTGCAGTCTGGGTGCTTCCTGGTCAGTTATAACCGAGCCTTTAGTGTCTGGGAGCAACACTGGTGGAGTATGTCACTTTGTAAGTGGGAAACAGCCTTTGATTGAGTCCTGTTTTCTTTTGCAGCCGTCCTGGGTGGTTCTGTCTGTGCAGTGCGGAGCGCTCCTGCCGTATCCTTTTTGGGGGAAGGGAGGGAGGAGAGAGCATTGATGCCTGATGTGGGAATTGCTGGGTGAGAAGTGGGTTCCATGGTGAATTGTGTTGTGTCCATCCTGTGTCCTGGCCGAGTGGACACAGCTGCAGGCTCCAGTTGTGCTGTGAACATTTTAGGGCCGGGAAGTAGATGATGTCATGCAGCCCCCTCCGTTCTGCTTGGGGCCAGGCTGTTCCTGTGGACGCCTTTAGTCCTTATTGGATCGGTGCCGACAGCGGGCATCTTATTGCATTAAGTATTTATAGGGACCTCAAGTAAACAGGAAGTATCCCTTTATGCTCAGTTCTTGGATGATATGCAGAATTTGAGCAAGTCTGGCCCAGAAATCCGATTTCTCATCCATTGTAAAGAGTTAAAGGAAATGGGTTTTGGTTTTATTTTTGGGGGCGGGGGGGGGGGTATTTTCTTCATGAACACAGGGAAAGCAGACTGGGAGTGGGGGGCACTTCTGCAGATGAGAGGTTAGTCCTGTGTGGGTCGGGCGCCCTCCTCAGAAGGCCATCATCCAGCCACCACTTGCCATCCCGGAGAAGCTCCAGGGTCAGAGTGGGCACTCATGTCTCCAGGACCACACCCTCCAGCTTTCCCTTGTTCCTGCTTTGCTAAGTGTTTGCCAGCCGAGGGCCCAAGTGAAGGCAGGAGCATGGCAGTAGGGCTGGCGGCATGAGGTTGGGGTGTGCAGGGCCCTGCATGCTGCAGGCTCGGATTTAGCGGGTCTCAGTCTGCCTGGGTAGGAGACCTCAAAGTGCAGTAGCGTTTCCAGTCTGATGATTCTCTTTGTTCACCCATCTAGGTAGGTGGACTTTCTCCTATAGGGACAGGATTGCAGATACTCTACAGTCTTCAGAAGAGGCCGTGTGAGCTCAGGCCAGGCTGGCCTATGAGCACCCGAGCCCAGAGCCTGCGTAGGGATGGCCGTGCCCAGTTGGCTCACAGACGCTCTTCAGGCGGGATTCTGAATGAATTTTAAAGTCAGAGCTTCAGAAGAGCGGTGCTGGCTCTAGTGTTAGCAAAGGGGGAGCTGACGCTCAGGGGGTCTGGCTTGTTCTCACAGTTAGTGGAGGCATTAGCACCAGAGCTCAGGCCCTTTTACGAGGGATTCCTTGCTGCACAGCGAAAGGGATCCACTCGAGACTGTGGACTTGCTCTGAGATGCCCACTCTGCCCTGTGTATATGGGCATGTGCACGCCTGTGCTGGCTCTCGGGCCAGGTGCTTGGTGAGTGCCACGCTCACTGGCTTTGGGAGCGCTCTCATGGAAACCTCTCCTCTATGCTGTCACCTTCGCTCTGTGTCTTCCTGTGGTGGATGAGTGCGAGTGTGAGTGAGTGCGTGAACTGCAGGTGACACTGATCTCATTGCATTGGAATCTTAATAACCGTCCATCAGAGTCAATGGATTTTCTCCAGAGTCCTGCCAGACCTTTTTTGGAGTCATAGCCTGCCTGTCTCAGGTGAGCACGCCCGCGGTCACTCTCGTGTTATCTGTGTTTGTGCACAAGCATTGCTGAGCTGCGTGCTCCATGGGGCACAGTTGTGTAACACTCATGCTTCATTTCCAGATGTGGGTGATGAGAGAAGGGAATAGTTAATGTTTTTTATTGTAATCTGTCCTCTCAACCCCCAGCTGAAAACACCCTCTAGCTATAAAAAACGATTATAAAAAAAATCAAGTTGGTATTACTTGGACTTATTTTAAAACTACATAGAGAAATGTATCTAGAATCACTAGTCAGTGGACAGCGCCTCGGAACGCTGCTGTTCTGTGTGCTCGTGGTCCCATTCCATGATCTGGGCCTTAGTGTTTTTGGGAAAGTGTTTAGCCCCATCTTGGAGCAAGCCTTTGAGAAAGGGCACGTCAAGGATGTTAGTGAGATGAAAAGGAATTTAGATTGTAGTCTTTTTAAAAAATGCCTTTTTAATAGAGGATTATGGAACCAGTAATATTTAGTTTGAAATTGTGAGGTTACTGGCCAGACTCAGTTCTTCATATCAATGGTGTCAGCCATCTAAGCAATAAGTAAGCTTAATTATGGTTACTGGGTTTTGTTTGCGTCTCTTGTAAATTCTGGAAGCGCTGGAAGATTATAAAATCCCTTCGTTTTGTTTTTGTTACATCCACTTAATACACATCCTTGAAAATTTGGCTTTTTTCCTCAAGAATAGGAGTTTTATTGGTATTTGTGTCTTAGTGTTTTTCACGTTGGTGCCATAAATGCATATTTACATGGTGATCTTTAAAGTTGGCTAAAATGAAAGTCCTTTAATAATGGTTACTGTGGTCACATGTTACTTTTTATTATTTTCCTTATGCTTCTCTGTATGTTCCAAATTTAGAGTAAATATCAGAAAACTTTTAAAGTGAAAAATTTTTTTACTATCACTCATCATGCATAAACAGTGTTCTCTGGCTAAAATGCGCATTTCACATGTAGTTGTATTGGTCTTGCTTGGATTTCTAGGTTCAGAGCTTCAAAGCCCAGTCCTGAGGCTTGAACTGAATGAGAAAGTGGGAGGAAGAGGCTGGGCAGGGAGACTGGGATGTCAGGGGCCAGGGCTGCAGTGATGTGGGGTTTACCAGGACTGACTTGGGGAAATAAAGAAGCACAGGTCATTAGAATTATACAATTATTACATGGTCATTATTAGTTGAGCGCTAGAGAACACTTTGTCTTGAGAGGAAAAACTAACAGCTGCATTTAACAAAGGTCATGTATGTAGTGGATTATTACATAACTAGAGGCTTGGTGCACGGATTTGTGTACCAGTGGGGTTCCTCAGCCTGGCCTGCGCCCTCTCGCAGTCCGGGACCCCTCGGTGGATGTAGGACTGCCAGTTCAGGCCCGAAGGCCAGGCCCAAAGCCGGCAGTCTGACATCCCCCGAAGGATGTAGTAGTGCACGAAGCGGCAGGTGGCCGGGGTGGAGCCTGAACCAAAGCCTGGGCGGGGCGCCACACTGCTCCCCCTCATCCCAGCCCAGCTGAGCCTGCTGCCACGGAGGCAGGAGAGGCTTGCTCTGCTGCAGCTGCGCTCACCAGCAGCTGCGCTCACCAGCCGTGAGCCTGGCTTCTGGCACCCATTGGTCAGCTGAGTGGCGCTCCCACGGGAGCACACTGACCACCAGGGGGCAGCTCCTCCATTGAGCATCTGCCTCCTGGTGATCAGTGCGCGTCATAGCCACCGGTCAAACAGTCAAATGGTTGAATGGTTGCTTAGGGTTTTATATATATATATATAGATACGCATGACATGGAGGATGACTGTGTATGTAACATCTGCGCGTGAGTCCCGGGTCAGGTGGCACAGGTGCTGACCTCTGAGCTCAGAAGGAGGCAGCAGTGTGGACTCCAGGTTAGGGCCCTTGGTGGAGGATGTCAGATTGAGTGGGCCTGAAAGAATGGGAAGAATTGGAGTAAAAATGGGGCAGGGAGAGGGCTTTCCAAATAGAGCAGGTGGGAGGGGCAGCGAGGCCCTGGCAGCCTGTGCCGGGTGTGGAGGAGGGGAGGGGGGGCGGACAGGGGACTGAGACAGGGATCTGAGTGTGAACCTGAGGAAGAAGCCAGCGGAGGGGAGCTGCTTTATGTTTCATTTTGGATTATAAATGTTTCCTAGAACATTTGGAAAACACAGGACAAGCAAACAAAATTAAATCCCTGAAATCTTGTAGGTGACACTAGTCTGGGAGCTGTTAGCGGACTGAGGGCAGGGGAGGGATGGGAGTTTATGGGAGGGACCGGTCCAGTCTTAGACCAGACAGAGGTTTGGATTTGGGTCAGCCCTGCGGGGTGAAGATACCGCGCTGAGCCACTGACTGGAGTCAGGTGGGGGGTCAGGTACGGGGAGAAGCTGCCTCACCCTGTGGGAGGTGCTTCCTCCTGAGACCAGGGTCGGAGGCCCCCCATTCCAGTGCTCTGGTTGGTGGTCGCATCATTGCTGGGTGTGAAACGGGAGCTGGTTTCTGAGGGCAGGTGAGGAAGCGGTGTGGAAGCGTGGTGTTTGGGGTGATGAGCTGTCTACCTAGAGGAAGGGGACTGGAGGGCAGATGACGGCAGTGGAGCTGGGCTAGCACAGAGGATACTGGAGGAGGACGGTAGGATTTTGGGAGCCAAAGTGAGTCAGGCTTACCAGTTTTGCTTTTTTTTTTTTTTTTTTTTTTTTTTTGCTGGGAAACAGTAGCGCCCAGGTAAAGGCGAGGAGCATTCATTGGTAACAGACAGTTGTCCTGTGGCCCTGGACAGTGACACAGGGCCGCTGATGGGCTCGGGGCCATAGTACAGGCTGGGGTCTAAGTAGATCTCTGTTCTGGGCTGGGAAGACAAAGGTGTGGTAATGGGTGGGGTTGGGGGGGCGTCGGTATGGGAAAGCTGCCCTCAGTCTCCTAGGTACACGCGGTCACTGGTCCTGTCCGGTGGTCTGGGAAGTGGCCCAGCTGGTGGGAGTATCGAGGTCTGAGGTGCATTCTGGGGGCGTGGCTGGGTCTGTGGTGGACAAGGTGAATTTAGCAAGAACTTGGACAGGATTTTAAGTCCTTCGAGCAAATGCTATCGGACTAATAGCAGTCGGAGTCCAGGCTCAGTGTTATGACCTCTGTGGGTTACTCACTGTGTTCTCAGTGTGTCACTTACGGTGAGTGACTAACTTTCCAGTGTGCATCGGGCCAGTGAGAGAGACCTGCGCCCAAGTGCAGGGAGATGGCGCACACGAGGGGAGGGGCAGAGGCTCTTCCTGCTAGTCGTTGGCGTGAAGAAGTCCTGGTGAAAAGCATGCTGGGCACTGGTGTCCGAGGTGGCGGGAAATCCAGTTTTGAGCTGCATTAACAAGCTCATGCAGCTGGCTGACCACTTCCTTTGTGACAGGAGTAGTGCCCAGGAGCCAAGCGAATGAGAGACTGCCACTCAATGAGTCTGAGGGTGCAGACCTGTGAACTCGCACCACGTGTAACGTGTGCAAATGTCAGGTGTGGAATGGTTTACCGGTGGGGGAGCCACTGCCATGCTTGGTCTGCATGAGGAGAGACCCTGGTGTCTGCCCCTCTTGGAACCCAGGAGGACTCCACCTCTACGAAGGGACCGTGCTTCGGAGAGACCTCTGTCTTCCCATCAGGGGCTTGTACAGCTGAGCTCTGTTGGAGTCCTCCCGTGCTCTCCAGGGACAGCAGGGAAGGGTACTAAGCAGTGGAAGTTGGGGAGCAGGCACCCTGCCTCTGACCCCACGCTGGTGCAGGCCGAGGCCTGTTGTTGGGTGCTGGGTTTCAGGGAAGAGGCCGAGACAGGTGAGGACACGGTTTAAATCTGGAGGACAGAAAATAAAAGCCCTTTCATTCTGTATGTCAGACTGCCCACCCATGTACCTCCCTGTACTCGGTCCTGTGAAAGATACCAAGGACATGTAAGACTCGGGCCTCTAATGAATGGGATTCTAGTTTGTAATCAAGGCTGGGCAAGGAGCTTTCATGTGGGCTAGAGCCAGGGAGCATTTGAGATGTGAGCTCAGGGAGAAGCTGGGAAGGGCAGCACTCACTTAGGGCACGCAGGTGAGTCAGCATCCTCTCTGCTTCAAGCTTAGGGGACGAGGCGGCGGCGGGGAGGGAGGACAAGCAGGTGGGTACCTGTGAGCAGCTTGCTGTGGGGCCAGGGCAGCGGCAGCCGAGCACCTCCTTGAGGGCTGGCAGCGAGGGGGGTGTGTGTGAGGCATGGGGACAGCAGGTGTGGCAAAGAGTGTTGCTCAGTTCCGTAGGCAGGGTGGGCACACATGTGGGCATCCTACCAAGAGGAAGAGGCCCTGGCAGCCAGACAGGTCAGGAAGGGCTGGAGACACATGTTCACTTTTTTTGAATTTTAGCCTGAAGGCACTGAGCAGACATTCGGCTTCATTAGTGGAGGTAGTAGATTTGAGTTTAGAAAGTTGCTTTAAAAAAAAAGTACTTTTCCCCAGTTATAAAATTTGGAAAATACAGAAAAGTATAAAAAATGAAAACAAAAATGTCCCCATAATCCTGTTCCCGCTAGTGTGAACATTTTGGTGGGGGATGAAAGAGCCTTCGTCGTTACCAGCGTGCGGGCACAGCTGCAGTGAATGTGCTGTGGGGTTAGGTCCTTGCACTCTGACTCGGGCTGGCGAGTGTTGCTCATGGCGCTGTCCCAGTTGACAGGGTGGTTTCTGAGGTCCCGTGTCTGACCAGGCCTCCCTCCTCCTCCCGCGGCTCTTTCCCCAGCACGCCACCACCTCCCGAGGGGCCATGGGAGGCCAGGCGCAGGACTTGGGCCAGGCAGGGCTGGGTTAGAATGACTGCCTTCAGTAAAACAGAAGTAATTCCTCACCAAGGCCACGTGTGGCCAAGTCTTTGTAGTAAAGGCACATCTAGGTTATGTTTTTAATTTCACTTTATTAAAGATTATGTAATGATTCATCAGAGTAACCTCTATTGTCATATAATTAAATCTTACCCTCCAAGATGCTGCAGGATACAAATGTTTTTGTGAAAACCTCTAATGAAAATAATCCTTTGATCCAATTTTCTGAAATGTTACATTGGTTTACTAAATTGAACAGATGCAAAATAATGGTTCTATAAAATTGATGTGTTCTTGTTAGTATTCACAGAGCAGTGTGGAATGTAAAATAATTTCTAGACTTATTTGTAAAATGGGTGAGAGTAGATGTAGAATATTAGATTTTTGGCAAGCTGAATAATAGCAATTAAAAGGAAAAAATGCAATTTACCAATACTTTTTAAAAATTAACATGAGACAGTTCAGAATTCTTAATCATAATCCTCAATTTATAGTAAACTAGAGGCCCGGTGCACGATATTCATGCACAGGGGCAAGGGGTCCCTCAGCCTGGCCTGCACCCTCTCCAATCCAGGA